AAGTCATTTCATTCGATAATTCTTATTTCATAATCAAATTTAACATAAATGTCGATTTTCAATTACGTCCCACTACCCTTGTTCTCTTCATATTTTTTTAATGTCCTTGCTATATTAGCTATGATGTCGTGTCTCTAGTCTCACATCAGATTGAGAAATGTTCACATACAATTCTCAAGCTATACTACTTGTCCCGCTAGGATCTCAATTCATTTAATTCCAACATGTGTCAAAAAAATTGAAATTTATGATTCAAACCGACCAACCCAACCCAACCCGACCGACACATAATTGGGTTGGGTTGGGTTTCAACATTTACATGGGTTGGGTTGAATTTCGAACAAACCGACAATGTTGGATTGAGTTTGAGTTTGGGTTTGGGTTGAGGCAAAAATCGACCCAACCCAACCCACGCCCAACCCTATTTGTAGTTTCCAAGTTGTAAATCTCTCTCATATTATGCGAGAATTCTCTTACACTCCTACGGGATGATAAAGATTATAAAATTCAAATTTTTAGATATCAATCACAACCAATATGGCCTACCACATACTCTTGTTGCAAGATAATAGCATTAATTACAATACAAAGTAACATTGCCATTTCCCGAACAAGGAAATTAAGCCATACGCATTCTTTCAAATTATATTATTCAAAACTCATTTTCAACCACACATTTTTCAATAAAATCATATTTTCCATCACATCATTTCCTTACTTTTTAACTACATATTTCTTATCATATTACTATTTAAAATACATCATTTTCTCAATAATATCCATCAAACACATTCTAATACAGAAAATAATAAGAGAAAAGTTGAACACGGACACACTACAAAAGTCTTATTTCATCGCATATCCCACGCTATAAACTGCTACTCTGGAATAGAATAAAAAATTTGATGTTCCAATAAAAAAGAGATACAACATGCTAAATAAATATAATTAGCTTCTCATGATATGGCAGTTGGTTCTGCTGACCACTTCCATACTCTCACTTGACCAGATCCATCACCAGTGAAAAACAAACCACTAGGACCAATATGTATGGCTCGAACCTCTTTCTTTGAAAAGATCTTTCCCCTCTCCGAAAAACTAGGAAAAATAAAATTAATTGTTTAGAATAATAAGAAATAGTGACAATTTCCATCAATAAAAGCAATATCAATGCAATTGTCAAACCAAAATAAGTACATGTTTGGTATGCAATTATGATATATGATTTTTGGTCTTTCTTCCCCATCAATATGGTTCAGTACCATCCCACTTGCAAAGATGCCAGAAGTTCATTAGCAAGGTAAAGTAAGCATATTGTGAAACTCACGATGGCAAATCATAAACGCGGATGGTATTGTCATTGCAGGAGCAAAACAAAACTGGTTTGGCTTCTGAATCATGCATCCCACAAAGTGTGAGTACACCCTGCACGAGTACAAGTCAAATAATATCAAATCCACAGAAAACACTATACCATATAATCTTTTCACTATTAGAAATTTGAAAGTATTAGCATATAAAGATCACATCCTACCCGAAGTGGGACAAGTACACTATACCCTATACTATACATCAAATGAGCAACTAAAAAATTGATGCAATAATTAACTAAAGCATACGTGTTCCTCAGTGTGGGTATAAGTTGCTTCCAAGCTCCCATTTTCAGTTGCCACCCAAACCTAAAAATGGGAAAATCAACAAAATATAAAACTCAATTCCTTTCGCACAAAAAAGTAAGACAGTTATCAAAGGTTCTTGAAGAAAACCTTGATTGTTTTATCCAACGAGGCTGATAAAAGGAACTGGTCCCAACACAATACAGACATCACAACATCTGTATGCCCTGTCAAAGTTTGTAGACACTGCAAAGTTTCAAGGCTCCATACCTGAATACAAGAAAAAGAAACAGCATCAACAAAAATAACAATAGCAAAACACCAGACAATGTTATGGTGCCAAGATATTGATTTTTCCAATTTTCTTACAAAGAAACATAAATACTAAGAAAACATTTTTGATTAATTTACTTACTCTTATAGAATGGTCCATTGAACCAGAGTACAATCTATTAGCTCCAACAACCAGGGTAACAACAGCAAGAGTGTGACTCTTGAGTGAGGCAGTTGGCTCAAAATAGTTAGTGGCTACATTGAATTTCCATGCTAATATAGTCCCATCCTGCAATAAAATAGGCATGTTCAAGAAAATGGGAAAGAAAATTATCTGTATTTGAGCATCTATGCTCATGTGGTGTAAAATTTTTGCGCTTCAACACCGTAGGCAACCATCTAAACCATGCAAATCAAGGGTAATAGAAACTAGCGTGCCTACGAGGAAAGATTTGTCATATATTGAAAACTATTTACATCTATCAGGTTCCAAGCTATGAGCACTAGCTCATTATTCTTTCATTTTAATGTTGTCTCAATTGCTATGGGAACATTTTGCATTTTTAAGTCCTATTTGTATATGACCTTATAACTATAGCAGCTTTTTATTTTTTATTTTTATTTTTTCACCTATCACCAGAAACATACATGAAGAAACTAGAAAATAATGCAACATGTATGGAAATTGAAAGAAACAGGTTTGGCAAACCAAAAAAAGGAAATTATAACGTTTCTCAAAATTTTACCTGCGTACCGGCAAAGAGCATATCATTGCCAATGACAAGGGAATATACTTGTCCAACAGGTCCATTTAAACTTAGGTCTATAGATGTTTGAATGTTCCATGCCTGTAACAACACAAGATAACGCCCAATAGGTCAAAAGAAGTAGATATTCATGATGCTGTAGGAAAAAGGAACAAAAAATGTGCATGTGAAAGACACAGAAACAAGTAATAATATAATGCTCCGAACCAAAGTGATAAGGAATACTAGAGATATTTTGACTTCCTATCTTACCTTGACAAGATTAGTCAAACCCACAAATAGCCATGGGCCTTCACTTAGCATACAGCCTACTGCACCTCCTACATTCACTACCCCGACCACCTGTAGCAAAAACAAGAGTACAAGACAAATTAGTAAACAAGAGCATTCCCAAAGGATCACCGATAAAATGAGCAAAAGAAAATAAATAACATTTTATGAGGGGTTACAAAATGTACTCCATGACGTTTTCCATCAATACCAACTTCTGTTCCATGTAGTAACTTTTGCCAACTCTTATGCACATATTAATGTTCAAAACTTATAACAACCTCATATCTTCTCTCCAACATTTATTTCATTAAGAAAGCCTTAGGCTTATGAGCATATATTAAATGATTTTAATAAAATGTTCTTTTATGAAATTATTTCCCACAACACATGATAAAGTGCGTGCAAAAAAAATTATAAGGAAGAAAAAAGATGTGTAAACAACCTGACCGGATTGGCAGTCCCAAACTCTAACGGACTCATCTTGACTCCCCGTGTAAAGCTTATCCAATCCCATAGGCAAGGCAATCCCAGTAACAACCTGTTGAAGAATTCCTATGGTTAACATGAAACTGAGACAGCACAACAACTAATCTTCTACAAGCACAAGTAACTTGAAACACGTTTGGATAAAATTGATTTGAATATATATAAACATGAGCCAAACACAAGCTTAATATAAAAAATGTATATAATGATAAAATTCTGGGTCCACCAAAATGTAAACTCTGTAATAGGCTAATAGCATAGGTATTAAACCTGGACCTGACCGGCTGAATCCAACCAAGAACTCAGCAAACTAGACCTTGTTCGATCTGGTTAGTATATTTGGACCAGTTCGCATTAGAACCAGTTTTCATGTAAAATCGGCTCGATTGACCAAACCCAGCGGGTCTTTGCACAGTGGGCTGTTATTTGCAAAATGTGCAAATTGTGGAGACGGAGTCTCAATCCCAAGACCTAAACCTTGTTTAAAGGATGCATTACCACTAGGCTACCTCTATTGCTTTGGTATATAACAAACTAAAATTATATTTAACATCTTATTGAGATTGTAATTATTTAAAATATTTATTTTGTCTTCGAACAAGAATCAACAAAAACACATTGATTTCAAGTCTATTACATATAATTCTTTTATAGCCAAATTTAAAACATAATGAAGAAAATCCATGGGAGAAAAATAGAAAGACAGATTAATAATATAGATACAACTATGTAAAAGCATTTTCAAGACTCTTTATTTATAAAGAGCATCTTATGTATGATAGAAGATATTTAAATTTCGATAGTAAAATATTTCATACACTCCAACAATGCTCACTATTTTGGCTTTTCATTTTGCATTTTCCAAGCAACATTTATTGATTTCTCATGATCTTTTACTTTTAACATATTTTTTCATATGTTAACGACCAATCAATTCAAACATGATTTGAATAATTTAAGTATTGAAATCTGTAACTTATTAAATGCAATCATTAAAATGTAGGAACAGTTAAATAGTCTCTTGAAAGTTATTTTTAAGCATCAAGTCTCTAAAGTAAAGAGCAACTTGTATTTAGAAAATCCCTTGGTTATACTCTAAAAGAAATAATTAAAATCTTCTATACGTATTAAATTAATAATAAAGAAGGGAGAATTTTTGAACATTTATAATATTCAATCACCCTGCACTTTAGCCCGGTGCATGACCAGGCTGAGTTTGATATAATAAATGCTTTATAAATTCAGTTATGCTATATGTACAGAAATAGTTGGATAGAATTTTTACAGAAGAACACATGGCAATTTTTCATTGGTTTTCGACACAACAATGGCAGAAAATGCACCATACATGTGCAACGTAGCACCCGCATGGTTTTTGTGAATAATTCCCTGTATGCAGTGAATTATTCTTATAAATTTGATTCAGAGCTCAGCTACGCAGCTTAATAAATTACATAATATGTTTTAAAACTTGGAAAAAATTCAACTTGATCAAATTCAAAGAAAGATTAATAACCATATATTGACTTCAAAACCATTATAAACATGATCATAGAATGCAAAATCCATGTCTGCATTTCGCAACAGGAACTCTCGAAACTGGGTATCCAAAAAGTCCAACAAGGTGAACAAATAGAACTCCTACAAATCCTATCCCACAACACCAAACATAACTGTAAATCCACCAAAACTTGAAAAAATAAAATAATTAACTATCCACACAAAAGAATCCGACTTTTATAAATTCAAAATTCTATCAATGATGAATTAAACAAAAACCCATAAACAGTGTTCAATATTTGAATTAAATTTGTCATCCATCAATGGATTGGTGTGCCATGTCATTAGTTCTATACATATGTTTAGATGGTTCAAGAGTACCTGCTGGTGGCCTTCAAGAGGAGTCAAAAGAGAAAAGCAATCCCCAGTAGACCACTGATGTAAGTACTTACAATTATCTCCAAATTTACAGTTCCCTTGTAACCAATGATTACACAATTTCTCCATCTTCTTAATCACCCTATTACTACTACCACCACCCTGTCCTTGCACTCTACCCCATGTATTATTAAAATAAGAATTCCCGCTCCGCCGCAACCCGCTGCCCTGACTAATGCCCGCCTCAAATCCCTGGTGAGCACGCTTTGACGATTCCCCATTGTTCGCCCCTGGTAACTCGCTATGCAGAAACGGACAAGGGAAGCGCGAGCACTTGCCTTGCCTCCAATGGTAACATACCTTCTGCTGCTTATTATTACTGTAACCACTCGAAGCCGACTGGCCGAATCTGTGATAAACTCTTCTTCCGCCATCCATATCCATAATTATACACCACAAGAGAAAAAAAAAAAAAGAAGAAGAATTTTAATATGAGATTTTAAATTAATGCACAATTATTTGGTAGTTTGGGTAATGAAATATGAAATTAGGAACCCTAATTTTTGGGCACCAGAGATCGATTTGGACAGTGAACGAAGAAGAAATAGAAGATAGAGACAGTTCGGAGGAACCAGGTTCTATTTTTTAATTTTTTTTAATGTTTATTGTAAAAAGAAAACGTGTTACCAGAATAAAAAACTGCCAAAGTCGCAAAATAATATTTTGTCATAGCGGGTTTTTTATTAAATGAATTCTAATTCTCATTATGAGTAATCGTCGCAAACCGAAGACGACATAGACATAGAGGTGTCAATCCGGGTGGTCCGGGTCGGGTCGGCCGGCCAACATGTGAGCCCGGTAACGGCCCGCGTGAAAAAAAGCCCGCCCGCTGCGGGTTCCGGGCCGGTTACGGGTCGGCCCACAATTTTGGACTACAACCCAGGCCCGCCCGCTGACCCATCCGGGTCGAGCCCATGCGGGTCACGGGTCGTGCGGGTCGCGGTTCGTTCCGGTTTGACCCGTATGATTGTATAAATAAAATTATAAAAATATAGAATTTTTCATATTTATAGCAAAAAATATATTTTTTTATTAAATGTAAACTAAGAATTGAACAAAATGATAAATTCATAATTATATCAAGAAATTTTTACATAGAATTCAAATTTAATGTTACATGAATTATTTATAACTTTGCAAACTTCTACAACATTATCATCTTCTAAATTTATTGGAGAGCAACTATTATTGAAAATAGGATTTTGAGAAAAAGAATCGCGAGAATCCATAATATAGTAGGATTAAAAAATTTAGTAGTGACTAGTGAGAATCGAGAAGAAAGAAATATAATCAAGATGATGATGATATTTGCAATTGAATAATTGTAATTGTAGTAAGGTAGTAACAAGTATGAACTATGAAGTATAAATGTATAATAACTAATGAGAGGGTATTGTAAAAATAATCTCTCCCCTTTTTTTTAATTTTTATTTTATTTTTTTTTAATTTTTTTTACGGGCCGCGGGTTAACCGCGGCCCGTGGGGGTGCAACCCGCGAAACCCGCGGGTTACACCTCCTTGGCCCGTGAACCGCCCGCACGGGTCACGGGTCGGCCCGCGATCCTGGTTTTCACGGGCCGATTTTTACGGGTCATGACCGGTCCGTCCGTCTTGACACCTCTACATAGACATTGTTATACAATCAGTCCAACAAGAATCAACCGACAATGAAGCAGCTAATAAAATTAGTTTGTTGTCACTTCATTCTGACTGCACATAAAGTAACAAGCATTGCAACCAACTTTAGAAAATAGTGCAATAATATGTTCAAATGCCAGAGCATTTATAGATAAATTGCAATCAGATTTCAGTCCTTGCACCACCTCAAGAGCAATGCATTCGGCTAACTCAATCTTGTAAGCATGATCTCGAGCAAAGTTTAATCCCTTTGACGCACAAGATCTTCGGCAGTCTCTAGTTCGAAACAATCCCAAAATCAGATTTTATTGACGAAGGCTGCATTGACAACACCCAAATAATCTCAAATTCGTTACGTCTGTCATCTTTCTTAACAAAAGCATTAGTATTTAGTTTGAGTTTTCCATTTAATGGTTGCATATGTTAAAGAGATATATCACATATCGTATAATTATCGAAATATAAACAAACATATAAGGGTTTGTTACACTCCCTTAATAAAATTAACATTTTAAAATGAAATCAAAAATCCTAATATTAGAGCTCATGATGTTCCAACAAGCAATTTAATTTGATTAAAACTCAAAAATGAGCACGAATGCGTGTTAAAAGATAAATTCCAATCGGATAATTATTGAAATATACATCAAAATATAAGAGTTTGGACTACTAATCTTAATAAAGTTGACATTTTAATATCGAGCCCCAAATCTCAATAGCATCCATTTCGCTAGTGCAGGAAACTGCACCATGTTCACTCTCTTGGTAGCCTAACTCAAATCAGCAAAACCATCCGTAAGAGTTCAGTGAAGCAGCAACATCACCACCAAGGTTATAACCTCAATCCATGTTTGGCAATACGCTAAATAAAATGTGGAATTAAATAACTCATTTAATTATACTTATAATTTAATGTCACATTAGCACCACATAATCTGGAGTTATAACTCCAATGTGGCTAAATAGCCTTACTTTAACTGAAATTCATCCATTGTTAAATGATTAAATATGCCTAACAGCATATCATCAATCCCACACAAAACGAACAGTTTAATCTTGCTCCAAAAACTGTTCTTCCAGACAATGGTTGCATTGAAACATGGGATGAATGCTTATTTCCTCTCTCCCACACTGTCGGCATCATGTATTCATATCATTCCCACATCTAGCCAGATTATTAGTATGAATAGCATTGTGAAATCGCCAGATAAATATGCAAATTTTTGGCAGCATTTTTAGCTTCCATACACCTTGCCACCAACCTGCGAAAGTTGTGAACTTGACTCGATGAATGTACACTTCTCCCATACGTATCAGTAGCATTACCCCCTTCTAACTCAATATTTTCCATTTCTTAAAATGCCAAATGATTGTATCTTCATCGTTCATTCTGCTCAATGGAATGAAACTAAATATCAGAATCAAAGAAGCTATTTAGTGACATCCCAAGCTCCAGAAACAGTAATAAGTTCACTTAGCCAACATACCCTTTGGAAGATGTGAAAGCCCGAATGGTAGCGATTAGGTGTGCTTAAAATTGGTCAAGAACCAACCCTGGAAGCTCAGTTGTACAAATTGCAGAAGAGATGCTAAAATGGACAGAAGAAGGTGAGAAATGAACTTGAACAGAGAAAATTTCATCCCATTTCCAGACAACTCAACATTGAAAGCTCATCTCATCCAATTTTCCAATTATCATGTTTGGTTGTGCTTAAAAGTAAATAAAACTTGTTTTTAAGTTACTTATTTTGCCAAAATCAACCTTCAATGTTGCTATTCTACGAACAAAACTTACCAGACATGCTCAGATTTCAATTTTACAAATGTACCGTATCAATTCTAATTCCACTCACAGACTCTAATTTACTACACTGGAAGAAGAAATTTAAATTTTAATGAAATAGAAAACGTAACTGAAGTTGAAACAGAATGCATGTAAACACCAGCCAATGACTGCAAATTACAATCCCAAATGGCTCGGATGCATCACCAAAAATAAAAAAGAAGCAGAGCCCTTTCTTAAATTGACTGAATAAATTTCCAGTAAAACCAAATAAACTGCGAGACCTGTAAGGCTTAACCAAGATTAGACAGAACATGCAAGGATTTAGGAAGTATAAATAGAAATAAAACTCTCAGCCTGTTCAATTTAGATCCTTGTTCATATTTACAGAGACTAAAGTTGTGAAAACTCCTGGATAGTGAATTCATTCTGGTTAAAGAATCTTTTTCTAGTCGCTTTGGAAGAACCATGGGTTTATGCTTCAGGTATTCAAATATAGAAATCACACCACTGTAAACAAGTAACATTGGCTTCCACAGTCACTTGGTAATTTTGGCGAAAGAGATGCCAGTTAATTTTTGTAGGAACCTAGCCCCGAATTAAACATTGCCAAATGGGGAAGACCCATCCTGTAGATACTAGAATTACCTTCAAGTAAAACACATACTGCACTACATCAATTTGCTAAAATCATAACCTGAAAGAAGATTCAACAGATCAATATAGCAGCTTTCTTTTCAATTTCTTTTTCGTTTTATTCGTAGGATTCTAGGGAAGAGGAACCGAAGTGGATAACCACAAAGTAAAGCAGCCATTAGCACACTAAATATTACAAGAAAATGAAATTAAAAAATGTCGTGGTTGTAGAATGTCATATTCAAAAGTTGTGTGTTATACCAGTTCGATAAACTTCTTATACAAGATATGGTTTTTGTCTCAGCACTTGGAGAAAAAGCTTCTAAAATTTAATTCCTTCTTTCTTCCTCTTGAGAAAGACGAAGAGAAGGGGAAACTATATTGACTTTTAATATTGATGAGCGGACCAAGTAGTGAACGATAAATAAATCAAAAGATATGTAATAACATGAATCATCATGATGCAATACTGTCTACATACTGAAATTTAGTTCTCCAGTCTTGAAGGAAGCAACGACCTAAGAGACGTCCCACAGAAAGCATGCTTCATAAGGAGGTAAGTTATTCGGATCTATTCAACTGGCAAGTTTAAAGGCATCAATGAAGAGACCATATGTAAAACCCATCTTGAAATTGTTTAGAAGGGCAAGCGGAAAAGTGACCTTCGGCCGACTGTAATAGAATCTTGTCACATACTCCGTGATTAGAACACACAAAACCGCAGCAATTACGTCATTAACACCTAAAGCTCCAAAAGATAGAGATATTGTTTGTGCCACGTAAAAGCCACCCAATAAAGATATACCTCCAAAAAGTGCCCTCCGGGAAGGACTTCTGAAGTAATTCCTCGATATATCAGGTATAATTCGTATAATATCAACCAAACGTCGAGGCCCTTCATTCTCTTGTACTGCTCGGATTCTAAATGACGCAGATGGTCCCGAAATGCTTTTTACCCACCTACCATGGGAAATGGCTGGACTTGGAATTGAACCATACTTGAGGAGACCCAAAGAACTTAAGGCAACAGAGTTTACCATTTGAAATGAATATTCAGTAATCAACATGAATTCCCTGGAAGAATGAATGGAGATGAATTCTTTAGCAACTGCCCACTAACAAAAAATAAATTGAGTTAAACCATAGGAACCTGGGAGACAAACAATACCCTACCCCACCAACCACGCGCACAAAACAAAGAAATAAATAATTAATAAAAGCAAAAGAAAAAGAAAAAAATGACTCTCAATCTCATATATTCCTCCCTCCTTGAACAATAAACCAGAATTAATGCAATACTTCGAAAAATTACTGTAACATTGTCAAGACAATCTTATTCCCCTTTAGCAAATTCTGGCATTAAAAAACATTGTTAAAATGACAATTTGACCAATATCGAAAAATAAAGCCTAATTCAAGCACAGTTCATCAAATACAGTACAAAAAAAAAAATAAACCACTAAAATATGCTTGATAAAAGCATAATTGGCTGACATTTGATGAATTTATGGTTAAAAAATTAATAAATTGGAGGGAATAGAATACGCATACCTTATGATGTACGTTTATGTATTATATGGTTGAAACTTCATTTCTCTCTCAACCGCAGTTCAACAGAAAGCAGAGCAGAGCAGAGAGAGGATGAAATCAGGGGAATTTTGTGATTGAACTGCAATACGACGTCGTAGTAGAAAGCAAGGGAGTCCTAGTGCCTGCTGTTTGAGCCTTTTTGGAGCCCATTGGGCTGAGTTTCAATTTAGGAGAATGTACAGAAATAGCATTAGAATATAGGATCAGTGATTGTATCATCATCACTTTGTTTTAGTGGATTCAAATTCTCTCTCAGTGATTAAAAAAACCAATCATAGAATTAAAAATGATGAATAGGCGTAGATTACTAACTGACCTATATAGGATTAAAAATGAATTAATTTTACTAATGAAGATTAAAATTGATAGCTAATTGTGTCCCATCTTGAAATTAAAAGTAAATTTTCTTAAACTAACACTATTCAAGAAAGTGAACGAAGCTAAATATCCAATCAAAAAAATAGAAAAAGCAATGCTGGAAATATTTAGACCTAAATGTGTGGAATTAACACAATAACAAGCAACAAGACACTTTTATTGTCTCTAGATGATAAATGTAATTAGTCTCAATTAACTCTTTAAGTTTAAACAAACAAATAACGTATAGATCAAAAGAAATAAAGCAAATAACATCAAATATGATCATGGAGGAAAACCAATTTTTCAGGATAAAAACCTCCAAACAAATTTGTCAGTAAAATTCACTAGAAAAGTTAACTTACATTAATCCAGACACAGTTTAATTTTAGTTGACTCTAACCACCCAATTTGTAAATCACAAGGAAACTCTTTTGGTTGGTACGATTCTCACTTCTCGGTAACTTTGGGCTACATTTCCTTCTGCATGGATCGTCAAGAACGAATTCTTTAAATTTCAACCGCTTCTTCTCCCAACTTACTCTTAAGACTCAGATGTAAAGGTAGGGTTTTTGATGTTTGATCTAATGATCTTTCGTGTTTTGATCTGTGAATAAGACGGGAATATTGAAATATAGATTTCGCACATGTTTGGTAGAAAATAAAATTCAGAATTTAATCTAAGTTAAAGTCAGTAATTAATTTTAATCACACATTTTATGAGACCTACAACTTTTCAACGATACCGTTTATTAATTTTTATCAAAATCTAATAAAAATCTGATTTTAATCCTTACCAAACAGATGCTTGATCTTCAAATGATGTTCTCTTGACTAAAATTAAAACTCAACCAATAATGAAATAATGTTTTGGATAAATTCTGAATAATTGACCAAGTGATTAAATCTAGATATCTTTGAAATGAGTTTTAGATCTTCAATAATAATACGATCTCTAATGTAAAATAATGATTCAACACATTGAACACACTTCGCTATAGAGGAAGAAAAAATAAAATAAAATAAAATCAAAACTTTTAGATAATGCTTTTTTTTCCGTGTAATTTTGAATCAAAAAAGCCTAGACGGCCACCTAGGCGCGCCTTTTAAAACAATGCAACACACTTTGATGTAAAGGAGGAAAAAATAAAATAAAATCAAAGCTTTTATGTAATGCTGTTTTTCCATGTAATTTCGAATCAAACAAGATAAAACATATCATCAATAAGTTCACAAATTTAAACAACAATAATGATCTCAAATTTTCACCATACTAGATACTACTGTTGCACTCAAGAATCAATTACTACACCAGATGCCAAGTTAAACTTCTTATTTTTTTTCAAATATGTCAACAGAACTTCTGTATTCTTTGGATTTTGTGTGAAAAGTTGATTTGGCGTTAACAGTAAGAACGACCTGACATTGCAAAATCGAACCCCTGCATGAAACAAAGATACTAGAATTTGAGAAACTCAGTGGAATACAAATCTACAATGGTTAAAAAAAAAACTTTATCCCCTCCCTAAAGTATTATCACCTATCAAGCAAAAGCTGACACGATTAAATTCATTAACATTCTTTATATATAGTAAAAATTTAATTTTGTACTTGCAATAAATTTTTCTTCATAATTTTTTTTTAAAAAGAGTGTTAATTTGTCCTTTAATACCAAATTTAAGTTAAAAAATATAATATTTCTAATAAAAAAAGTGGGCATGGTAGAGTGTCTGGGGATTGTAGATATACGATACGTATCGGTCACATGTTAGACATGGACAAACCACCTCAATTGAAGTGTCCTGCAAAACATGAGCACGTTGAAGACAAAATTCAAATATGTAATTGTGTTCCCTTTCTAATTCGATTTTATTTAAATTTTGCCTTCAACATGTTCGCTCATTTGCAGGCATGATTAAATTTTCCGTCAAAAATATGGCGTGCATAATGGGTAGAGGCAAGCCTTATGCTCTACACATTTGCGGTGCTATGATCTTTTGACGTGAGAAAGGAATAGAATAGCATAAGGTCCAACATTTTTCATCTAGGGGGTAAATAAGCTGAAGTTTCACCTAAAACCTCAAACTTCAATAAAAACCTAGAAGTGGGCAAAATATAAAACAACTCACTTTTGCACTTCAGAAGCAGTTGCTGAGAAAAAAAATACATTATCACTCGAATGCAAGCCTTTGAGTGCCGACAAGAGAAGCATATTGACCCTTCTTTTCTAACAACTCGAAATGTGTCCCCAACTCTGAAACTTTCCCATCAGAACACAGAGCAATTTGATTTGCATTCTGAACTGTGCTCAATCTGTGAGCAATCACCAACGTTGTTCTTCCCTTCATTAGACGATTCAAAGCATCCTGAACCAGACGCTCGCTTACGGTATCCAAAGCACTAGTAGCCTGCACATTCAAGATATAATGGTGAATGTTGTCCAAGGCATCCAACAATAAATGATGCTAAATAATTTTCCAACACTAAACGAATAAGCATTCTCTATTAATAAAGTTGGAAACATGGGATCTTATTAAAGGCGTGTTCGGTAGATATTAAAATCGGATTAAAATTGAAAAAGTAGCCGTTATTGTTGACTTTTATTAAACTAATGGGACCCAAAAACGATTGTATTTTTAATTTTAATTGGATTTTAATATTTACCAAACGAGACTTAAATATAAAAACTCCTTCCACGTTCTTATCCTGGAACCAATTTGGGCCCTGATAGCTTAATCCATGAATAGAGAATGCATATGAATTGCAAATTCAACAAGAATAATACCTCATCAAGAATCAAGATTGGAGCATTCTTAAGCAGAGCTCTGGCTATGGCAATTCTCTGGAAACAAGGAAGTGGGTTTAGTACTAAATCACTTCACACGCGTGCAGAGAGAGAGAGAGAGGTAGGTAATACCTGTCTCTGCCCTCCACTTAACAAACCCCCACGCTCACCAACTAGTGTGTCATAACCCTGTAGAAGAACAAACACTCAGCAGAACATTAACTCATAGGAAGAGAGATTTATGCACAGTTTCAATCTCGACTCACCTGTGGCAATGAAATTATAAAATCATGAGCATTTGCTGCTTTAGCAGCCTTTATCACATCATCTCTGGAAACATATTCATCTGGGAGCCCATAAGCAATATTTTCCCCAACAGACACAGAGAACAGAACAGGTTCCTGTGATATTATATTCTATGTTTCAGGCAAGTAATAACAACAAAACATAAGCATAATTCCCAAAAAAAAATTGGCTAAGCTACTGAATCCTTTTCTTCCACTCTGTTTGATTCCATTGCTACGTTTACGAATCATTTCCTCAGCAACCATATCAAGCCATGTTATAGAAAGTGAGTTAACTCATCTGAATTGACTTAAAAATGAAACCGATATTCTGCCAGGATTACATCCCATCAAAATCAACTCAATTTATGACTTGATACAAAATTAACTTGTGTTTCTAAAGTCAACTAGTGTTTGAGCCAATGTGTGTTGTTAATGTTTAAATATTTTTACACGAGTTCTTTCTTTAACTGAACAAATTTATAAGACTCCACCACAAATAAATCACTTAACTATATCTTCAAATTGGCAGCTGCGCCAGGATTACACTGAAACCAGAGGTGTTATGCATTTAGATGAAACTTCTATCCATAAGATGAGCAAAGATCCAGGAGTTACTTGATTCACTATGGAAACTGCTCGAGCCCATTCACTTTTATCAAATATCCGCAAATCCTCTCCAGCAACAGTTATGCGGCCTCCGGTTGGCTGCCTTATTAGAATTCGATTTACAGTTATGAACAAGAGGGGACACGAAGCTCTAATAACAATTATAAGTGTTTGTTTGGGCCCCATTTTTTCCCTTTTTTTTCAAAAAATGCATATTGTAATAGTGTTATGATGAAGAATGTATAGTTAAAAAATGAGGACGGGTTTTGGATTTGAATTTAATATTATTTTATTAAAAAATATGTGGTTGAAATGTGGTCAAATTTCAAGAATACATTTTGAAGGAAAAATGAGGCTCAAATAAGGGCTAAATGTTAAAATGAACATAACCTCATAAAAACGAGCTAAAAGCTGTACTATTGTACTCTTTCCTGCACCACTTGGGCCCACTAGAGCAGTAACAGTTCCACATTTCAAAGTTAGATCAAGACCTTGTAGGATTTCTACATCAGGTCTCAATGGATAAGAGAAATACACGTCTGCAAAAGAAAATAGTATAATGCCAATTGTGCAAGTTTGATCTTGTCATAGAAGACATTGATAATGCAAAAGTATATACCTTCAAGGCAAATATCACAAGTCTGTGCAAGGCTACGCAAATGGGTAGCTGATTTCAAGGAAGACATGTACCCTGTATTCCAAGTTCGCATTGTCCCATTAGAACCATTGACCAAAAGAGCTTCAAGATTTTTGTCATGTACTTGGTTTCGCTTTAAGTCCTTTTCTAAAGCATAAGCTAGAGCATCATCAATTTCAGCACCAGATAAAACAGAGTTAATTCTTTCAGTAGCAGCAAAGGCCCCACGAAGATCTCCAAAGGTGTTCACCACTCCTTGAACCTAGAAGACACATTTATCTGCTTGTATTGAAGAATGGAAATAAGAAAGGGAGAATGCAGAATGAAAAGAGTACTCACAGCAAATGTTAACGTAAAAGTGTATCCAATGAAGGAAACCATGGTACCCACTGCAAGTTCACCCTATGTGCAACACATCCAAATTTTGGAATAATCAGCTTAATAAAAATATGAAAGAAAAGCAAGCTCACCAACCATTAGAGAATATAATTCACTCAACAAAAAGTTTCCTTGAAGATATTGTGACAAAGAATGATGAAATCCATCTGTATGTTTAACAGAGGATCATGACAGAACTGTTAAAATACAAGGTGTAAAAGACTTCAAGTGCTTACAGCTTTTACTTTACTTCCTCCGAGACTATACAAGGCAACCAAAGAAACATAAACAGCAACTCTTGTCAGTGATTCATTGAGGGACTTAAAAGTCCCAAGCTTTATGCCACTGTTCTCATACTCCAAGACCTGAAAAAACTCCATATCACTTGCTAAGTAAGCTCAAGAGCTGATGTTATCAATAACATTATAAGTACATGGCAATGGACAATTGCCATATGTTTGGTAGGAAGGATTAGATAGCACGAGACAATATTATGGAAGAAAACAAAGGTTAAAATCTTGTTCATTACATTGCTGAGTGTTGTTTAGTACTATGTTTCAAACATGTAAATGACTTTGACACTAACGTAGAAATGTTTATGTCACTGTACCCTACCTGGCGACCAAAAATTGACATTTGACGTTTTTCTCCCCCAAATGATCTTACCTAAGAGAATAAAGGTAAAAAGATAGCATAAATATTAATTAGACACTATTAACTTCAGCACAAGAAACTATATTACAGACATGACAAAGGTCAGAACAACCTACAGTACGTATAGCAGCAAATGTTTCGGTTACACAATCAGCTATGGAGGCTTGGACTGATCCATGAGCTTTAAATACGTTCACAGTAGTTCTTTTGTACACAGCTAAAAATGATTGCACATCAGTGGAATTCAATAAAAAGGACGATAATAAATTACAAGAACTTGAAACTTCTTTGTGAACAAAAACTAACACTATGCTACTGTTTTATAAATTATTTTCAGTTATTTCTTGAAATACACACTCCTATAGCATGTCATAGCATACAGATAGTTCATTGACCTATGAAACATACTCACCAACTAAAAATGATACTGTAAGCATGAGAAGGCCCAAAATTGGTGCAAGTTGGGCGGACAAAACAAAAAGCAAGCACATAGTCCCGATGACCTGCAGTAAAACAGAGAGTAGACTTCAATTGAAATTTGAATGTTTCGTAAGCAATAGTCGACAGAATTGTACATTACAATAGACAAAATTTTAGCTTCTCTTTCATCTTTAGTGTATGTACAACTCACATTACCAAATGAGCCATTACTGATCACTCAAAGAGAACATGTAAAGGAAAAGATAACCTAGTAAACAGTATGCTATAAGTAGGTACATTCCAAAACTCAAATCAAGAGAATTTATCCAAACTTTCTGGAATCAATTGTTTCAATCAGCGTATACATCTAGAAATGAAATTGGAACAATCAGAGAATTTTTAATTGAGTTTTGATTTAACCCATTAAAAAATAAATAAATCTCACTTGTGCTTAAAGTAGGGTAGCTTGCCTCAGATAGTGCCCTGAAGCCACGATCTCTTGATATATTTTCGCTGACAATGCTTTTCAAAGAGCCCAAATCAGATGTCAATAAAGCCGTTAGTTCACCAACCTACAAAGATCCCACCCAAACTCGTAAATAAATCAAAGGTACATCCACTAGAAAAAATATAGATTGGATTCATAAAATTTTACAGCCTGAGTAAACTCAAAATAATATACAAAATCTCACATGAATACCTTGTATCGATCAAAAAACTCCATCTGAAAAGTCAATAAGAAAAGCGTGTCAAAATTGGATGTACACATAAAATGAACATACAAGATTCCTGGATAGTTTATTCAATGCAATAATGTTTCTTTTTCTGTTTTCTGTGTTGTATTTTTTCTTCCACTGGAGTAGTTTAAAGCATTTAGTTTTTCCCAAAGAGCCTGAAAGCCTACATAAGTTAACTGGACTGAAGGTTTTTTAAACGCAAATATCTGAAAATAGTATCCTATCAAAATCAACACAAATAGAAAATGTTCAATTTAAACTTACAACGGCTTTTTGTTTCCAAGACACTAGTTAATACTAAAGAGGGTTACCACATCGAGAAATGATTTTACCTTTTGAATCAACACCCTTTGAAATATTTGAGCTCTTAAGCTAGACATAACCTTCTCCCACATGATATTCATGTTTATCACAAAAATGATTGTACAAATTGCCTCCAATGTGTATAAAATTCCCAATTTGCTAACCACTTGCCAAAGAGGCGCTGGTCTCGCCCCAATGAGTACTTCGAAAAATCTTCCTGAAATAAGCCTCTCATTGACGTCAATATTATTTATCAATTATATTATCCATATACATCTTCAAAATAGAATGTAGTAATATTCCAGCAACAGTAACAGATACGGAAATTCAAAAAGTATATTGCCATACATCTAGTTTGGTTATTTTCCAGTACTTCAATCTCAGCTTCCATAGCCTTACATCAACTAGGATTCTTCGAGGCTTGTTTGTAAGAATGGAGCTCGGTATGGACAGAAATGGAAGTGGTAAAAGCTAAAAAATGTGGATTAAATTTATGGTAAGATAAGCAATTTTGTAAGGGAAAAGACTTACCACTCATAGCAGGTGCCTTCTTGGAAAGTGATTGTCTATGATGATCAAGCATGATTTGTGAACAGTGAAAATCTGTTAGATATTGTGGTGCTATTCGAACCCTTGTAGATCTTCTAAGAGTAGGTGGGAAAGGATTTATAGGAGAAGGGGACGTGGAAGAATTAGTAGGAAGTGGTGGGAATAGTATGGGAGTATGTGATGATGTGGAAGGAGTATGTGGTGGAGGAGAAGGAGGAGTAGTGTCTGGGGGAGGATGTTCAGAACTGGATGAAGAAAAGTGGAAATGAAAAATAGGTGAAGGTAAATGTGAAGGAGAAGAGTAGAAGTGTGATGATGTTTGGTGCAAAGGAAAAATGGACTCATGAAAAATTACATCTCTTGAAATGAAAGTGGTGTGTGTGGGTAGGTCCAATAATTTATATCCTTTGGTGCCGAAGGGGTAGCCTAGAAAAACACACGTACACTCTCTAGGGTCAAATTTTTGCCTGGGATGGAAAAGCATGTGAGCATATTTTGGTTTCTTGTGAAAAATGATTTCAAACGGAGTTTTATTTTGTAAAATGGGGGTGAGAAGTCGATTTATGATGTAAGTGGCTATTAAAATGCAGTCACTCCAGTATGTGAGGGGCAAATTGGATTGGAATCGCAATGATCTAGCCATATTAAGTAAATGTTGGTGCTTCCTCTCAACAATGTTATTTTGTTGAGGGGTTTGCACAAAACTTGTATGATGGATAATGCATTTTTCATTTCATTGAAAAAATTAGTCATGCGAAATTCAGCACCATTGTCACTTCTTAAGGTTTTAATTTTGAGTCCAAATTGTGTTTCCACCAAATTATAGAAGGAAGTAATGCAGGTTCTAGTATCAGCTTTGGATTTAAGTAAATAAACCCAAGTGGATCGGAAGAAATCATCTACTATGGTTAAAAAATAGTGTGAGCCATCATATGCAATGGTAAGGTGAGGTCCCCATAAGTCACAAGGGATTAAATCAAAAAATCGAGATGAAGTATGAGTACTATGAGGAAAAGGGAGTTGGTGAAACTTGGCAAGGAGACAAATAGCACAAAATTTTTTATTAATATAAGTAAAATGTATGTTTACAATAGGATCTGAAATCATTCTTAACCTAGAAAATGGTAAATGGCCTAGGCGAAAATGCCACGGGTCAGTTTGAGTAACATAATTGACAATAGAAGTGTGTGCAGTAAAAGATGTGGGATCTGAAAGAGATTGAAGAACTGCTGAAGGGAAGACATCTGAACAAATGAAATGGTATAAACTATGCTTGAGCTCACCATTCCCAATCGTTTTCCAAGAAAGCAGGTCCTGTATGAAGCAGTATTCAGAGAAAAATAGCAAGCAACACGTTAGGGTATGAGTCAATTTTGTTGCTGAAATTAAATTGAAAGAGAATGATGGGACGCAAAAAACATCCTTTAACATGATGATAGTGGTTAATTGAACATTACCAATATGTGTGACATGAGCTAAGTTTCCATTTGGAAGCTTAATAGAATAGGTGACAGTAGAAGTAATTGTGGTAAAAAACGAGGGGCTGTAGACCATGTGGTCCGTGGCACTTGTGTCTAGTATCCAACTCGAGGAACAATGAGAAAAAGTGCTGTGTGTAGAAAAGCAAGAATATATACCAGACATATTGGAAGCAGGAATAGACGAACAAGAAAGAGGAGTTGGTGAAGCAATTGAAGAATCCTTGGGTTGTAGCAAGGACATCAGCTGCTGGTATTAATGCTTGGTCAAACCAATTCTGTCATCACCAGAATTATCCATAGCAGGATGTGAAGCCTCATTGGCAAGTATAACAGATTAGGGCTGCTGCCTAGCATGGAACTTGTGGTTGGGTAGGTAACCATTTAATTTGTAACACTTGTCAACACAATGGCCAGTGAGGTTACAGTGGGAGCAAACTGGAGAAACAACATTGCCAAGCTTAAAAGAGCTTGCCATCGAGTGGCCAGAAATTTTGCAATGATTGCAATATAGCCGATCCTTCTTCTGATTTTGGTTTTGTTTGGGTGGATATTTAGGTGAGGAAAAGAAATTCTTAACAGCAAGATCCATGATCTCAGTAGAGGGTATAATGGGATTCATTTGAGAATGGCGTTCTTGTTGCTGAATGAGGGAAAAGACTTTGGTTACGGGTGGTAGGGGATCCATCGGCATAATCTGGTATCTAGTGGGAGAATATGAGTCATTAAGTCCCATTAAAACCTGTAGAACACAATCTCGTTGACAACGATCTAGAAGAGTTTTCAAAGTACCACAAGTGCACACAGGAAAAGGATCGTATATGGAAAGTTCATCCCAGAGTGAATTCAATTTACTGTAGTAAACACTAACATAATCACGGTCTTAAAGAAGGGCAGCTAAATCCCTTTTGAGCTGGAAGATTCGTGGACTGTTTTGCTGGGAAAAACGATCACACGAGTCCTTAGCATCATCAACAAAGGCCACAGACGATTTTAGGGAAGGGCTAATGGAGTTTTGGATCCAGGAAACAATCATATCATTGCACCTCTCCCATAATTCAAGTAATGGGTCAGTGGGAGAGGTAGGTTTCAACAGGGTACCCGAAATGAAGCCAAACTTGTTCTTGGCTATGAGGGCATGTCGCATGGCCCTTGACCAAGTGGTGTAACTGTCAGTAGTTAAAAGCTCAGGAACGAGGGTAATCGCCGGGCTATCACCATGGTCAAGCCGAAAAGGGTTTATGGGATCGTGGAGATTGAGGTATGAGGGATGGGTATTAGGGCTAGGGGAATTAAGTGCAATTTCAGGGGTGGTGTTGTCCATCGAGTATGCTTCTCAATGCTCTGATACCATGTAAGAACCAGAGAGATGAAGCTCTGGGCAGCAAATGAAGAAAACAGAGAAGCTGAATGTCGACAGAAGAATGGAGCTAAAGAAATGAATTCCCCAAAAACTGTATATCTTGAAATATATACAACTAAAAGTAACTGCCTAACAACTTGCTCTAATTATCTTGTGACATGTGTAAATGAAAATGTAAATGAAATACAAGTGAAATGAAAATTAAAATACAACTGGAAAGTGTCACGTTTGGCCAGTGTCTTCTAACCTTAGAAGATAGGACTAAGCAACGAGAGCATGTTTAGTTCGCAGGATTGATCTTGGCTAGACCATACAGTAGACAGAATTTCAAGTTCAGTTTCTTCTTTAAAACTGTCTAGCTCTATCAAATCCACTTACCAAATATATGATTGAATGAACAAGATTTAAACTTCCTTTTCTACTTTAATTTGTCCAATCTTACTTACCGAATATATCATTAGTGTTGCCTAATTCTCCTAGTAAAAATCACAAGACAACTCTAACATACCGGAATATATGGGCATGGAGAGAGTGCTAGCTGTGCAACACATAAGACTAAGAATCGAAGCCGCGAGTCTCAATTTGTGCCGTGAAATCAGCTTCCACAACAAGCCCCAGTTTATCACATCAATTGGTTGCGATTCTTCAATCTCAACTCCGCCCAAATCGTCGATTTTCGGCTCATGTTCTGTCGAACTTGCGTCGAAAGCTGGGCCGGACACATAAGCGCCGGAAACAATTCTTGATTTTGTCGAAATTTGTCCAACTTTTGGCAAAGAAAACGAAGTGGGCAATAAGGAAAATGACTGAATTTTGTAAGCTGGGCCGGAAACATAAGCGCCAGTAACAATTCTTGATTTTGTCGAAATTTGTCCAACTTTTGGCAAAGAAAACGAAGTGGGCAATAAGGAAAATGACTGATTTTTGAGATTATGGGTTGATTTTAGCCTTATCTGTGGCGTTCTGTGGGTGTGAAAGTGTTTTGGGAGTTTAAGGTTGCAAGGAAGAGTAAGAGGCGTAGTAGCGATTGCCATTTCTTCTGGTAGGTGTAGTGTGCACTCATGAAATGTTGGAGACGATTTGGTTTCAATTTATAGTGTTGAGAATGCGTGTGGGGGAAATTTTACAATATATTTTTTATTTTATCTGGAATTTCGGAAGTTGTCTGTCTGAAATAAAGGAAAAATGTTACTTGTACAGTTGTACGTCAAAAAATGTACATTAAGATCTATATTCCCTCACATGGAGGGGTCCATTTGAATAAAATATTCGAGTGGACCCCCTACCCATGTGAAGAGGGTGTACACCGTGATGTACACCCCGATATACTAGTCGCATTGCTCGAAATAAAATTGGGTAAATTTCATTTGGGTGCCTAACATTTTATAAGTGTGACACTGATATCCCCAACATATAATTTGTCGTATCATATCCCTAATCCTTTAAAATTGCCACATGGATTGTCCCTAACTAACACAAACTCCTTGTTTGGTTTATATTAAAATCATATATTTTTTATAAATTTTGATAAAAATTAATTGTTTTACTGTGACTTGTAATTAATTGTATTTGATTGGCATAATTTTTCACCTAGAAAATGTTGAAAGTTTGGTGTCCGTTTGACTTTATTTTTCATGAAAATTGTCCATTAAAATGATAATTTTTTTACCATTGAGTTTAAAATTTGTTCCAATTGAAAAAAAATTACCATACCGAATACCATTGGTTTGACTTTGTTTTACACGAAAATTGTCAATAAAAGTGATAATTTTTTTACCATTGTATCTATAATTTTTCCTAATTGCAAAAAAAAAAAAAAAAAAAGGAAAACAAATTCATTGAATGCAAGGAAAATAGGCGTGTGAGTGTAATGGCTGGAAAATGAATTCCAGGTAAAATTTTTGCAATCAAACAGGTAAAAAGTAGATATTTTCCATTTTCCATGGAAAATTTGTAGTATCAAACAGGGCCTAAATGAAATTTGATATCACTTAAACATTTACGTTTAACTTGTATTATTATTTTGGAATAAATGAAAATATTTAAACAATTTTATTCTTGTTCTAAAATCACGTGAGTGAAACATGAAAATTTGATGTTTAGTTGCGTTTTCCGTTAGCTAGAGACGTGACTGCTACGAGAACATAGGTACCTCCTCACCACACTTATGAAATATTAGAGGCTTCTATGGAATTTGCTCAATAAAAATTGTATTATTATTCTTGTAATATTGAGCTCTTGCATTTTGATGATTAATGCAGCTTGATTCTCAAAAATGATTATATTTTTTTATTATATAAATATAAAAATAAATGTCTAACTTAATTATCGAATTAAGAGTGATTGTAGTTTGTTGCAAATGCAAGTAAAATTCTAACAATATGGATTTTTTTTTTTTTTTTTTTAATGTTGAAGGAGAAAAGGCAAGATTCTCCCACATATGAGATGAGGTAATTCATAATTGTCGCACCTCTCAAATCTTCAAGAGGTTTCATCTTTTTGGCATAGCTTACATCCTTCGAATATTGTCACAACTTGAAGTGTGAGATTATTCCTTCAAACTCCTGTTGCTCATCTATGTGAAATCGATACATTCAATCAATCTTATTAGGGCCCCATTCGGTAAGGATTAAAATCCAATTAAAATTGAAAATATGGTCGTTATTGGGTCTCACTCGTTTAATAAAAGTCAACAATAATGGCTATTTTTTCAATTTTAATCTGATTTTAATCCCTACCGAACGGGCCCTAGATGTAGATTTCTTTTAAACATAGATTTTACGAAAATTGATTTTTTTTGGGAGAACTTGAGATTAAAAAGTAAGAAAAATTATGGATTTACGTGAAAAATTATTTTAATGAGAGAAAGTAATTGGAAATGAGTTTGATATAAATGAATTTGCACCAAATAGGAGCTCAGTGTTCCAAAGTCAACCTTCTTTTGACTTGAACCGAGACCATTCATCTCAACTACACTTACAAAAATGAGATATAAATAGAAAGCTCTCAACTTGTCTGGCTTGCTATCCCTCAGACGTGGCTATTGGGTATTGGATGGACTTCGCGTTGGGGTTCTTAACACCCAAGAATACAATTACCGAATCAAACACAACAAGAAATCGAAAATGCAGAAACGACAAACAACACCAAAATTATTCACCAGTTCTGCAATGCCTAATCTGGGGGCTCAGAGGTAACTCAAGCCCGTCACTTTAAGAACCTTCCAAGAGAGAGATTTACAAGGGTTTATAACCAAGACTCAAAAATCGGACTTTCACTATAATCAATCCTCCATGGATCTCCCAAAATGCCTATCCACACATGAATAAACACTTCACAACCTTACTTAATGCAGATTTACCGATTTCATTTGGAGTCCAAATGAAACCCCTAAATGAAACCTAAAAATGGACAATAAGTGAAAATTACACAAGATTACAGGCTCAGACAAGACTAATTACAGCAAACATAAATCACTAAGTAAGCTGCTCAAAACCAGAAGTGAAACCCTCGAGGAAATAATGAAGTCGCTTCAGCCAGAGAGAACCATGAAAAAACTGAAGGCAGTGAAAGAAAAATTAGTGACTGTACAGTAGCCCCAAAGGATATTTATACCCTTGTCATCAGCCTTTGATTAAGATTAAGGGTCCAGGTTACTCCCAACAAGTACAAATCCATGTGATAGCAAATGAACCAATACCAACTAGCCAAGTGGACCAAGGCAAGTTAAAAACCGTATTCCACTTATAAAATTGTGTTTTGAAGAACCACAATCCACAATCTTCATCTTGGTTCTTAAAACCCCTCACTCTCTCTAGTTGCTACAACACATAAGATGGGAAAATTATGCTACATCATCGCCAGGTACCTGCAAATGATTAACCAGTATCAATCTGTAATAAAGATAGACAAATTCTAAATTTATTTGAAGGTGGGATTTTGGTTCCCATATAAGATGGATTCACATCAATATGAATTTTTTCAAGTATAATCTCACCACATGCAATTTTCTCACGTATGAAATGGTATTTCACGTCAATATACTTGGACCTTTCATGATACACATGATTTTTGTATAATAGTAAAGCAATTTGACTATCAGTACAAATTGTAGGTGTCTCATGTAAAAAATTCAATTCTCCCAAAATTCCCTTCAACCAGATATATTCTTTTACAGATTCAGCTATTACCACATATTTAGCCTCTGTACTAGATAATGCGACAATAGGTTGAAGTTGTGACTAGATCCCTTCTTAAACACCAAATCAACTCTAAGAGCTCTAGCTATATATCTCAATAACCAATTTAACCCAGCCCAATGAGGTTTTCCTGGATTAGACATAAACCTACTTAGAAAACTAATGGAATATGCCAGATCGAGTATAGTTGTAACGATAGAAAACATGACAAATCCTATGGCATTAACATATGGAATGTTCTTCATGTCTTTAAATTCAGATTCAGTTTTGGGACATTGGGCTAAAGAGAGGTTCTTGTGGGCAGCAAAGGGAACATTCACAGACTTAACTTCTTTTATGCCAAATTTGGTTATAACTTTATTCAAGTATGTTTCTTGATAGTCAATATATTTTCTTTCCTGTCCCTGTTAATAACCATCCCCAAAATTTTTTTGGCACTCTTTAAGTATTTTATATCAAATTCGGATTTTAGGAGATTCTTAAGCTTTAATATCTCAGCTTTGCTAGAGCTAACTAGCAACATATCATCTACATATAAAAGTAGATACACCTCATTTCCAGTTTTAGTATTGATATAATACAAGCAACGATCATATTCACTTCTCCTAAAACCAATTTTCAGTACATATGTGTCAAACCTTATGCACCATTGTCTATGACTTTGTTTAAGACCATACAAAGATTTTTGCAACTTGCACACAAAGTCAAAATTTCCTTTTTCCTCAAAACCTTGTGGTTGACATGATAAATGTCTTATTCTAACTCCCCGTGTAAGAAAGCAGTCTTGATATCTAATTGTTGAAGTTTCCAATTGAATTGAACAATTAGTGCCAGAATTAATCTTATTATTTTATATTTGATTACAGGAGAGAAGATTTCATTATAATCAACAACTTTCCTTTGAGTAAACCCTTTGGCCACAAGTTTCGCCTTATATCTCAAAGGATCAGTAGAATTAATCCCTTCCTTGATTTTGAAAATCCATTTACATTGAACAACTCTTTGAGTTTCAGGTTTCTTTACAAATTTCCATGTCTTATTGTCAAGTAAGGATTTCATTTCCTCCTTCATATCACATTTCCATCTCTCAAATTCAGAACTCTTCATAGCCTCTTCATAAGATGAAGGTTCTGAATGTTCTAGAGATTCACCAAAGATGAGAGCAAAGTCATTCAAATTATTTATTTCACATCTTAGATTTGGTCTGACTTGTCTCCTTTCCCTATCTCTGACCAATTTATAATCTTGAACACTAGTTTCATTTGTGGGAATATTTGTGTTCTCAATTTCAGTTTCAAACTCAGCTTAAGGTACATCTACTTCACCTCCATTTGTGTTAACAATATTTTCATCAGATTGATCAACATCAGCTTCATCATTTTCAGGCTGAGTTTGACTGAATCTAGCTAACTTCACCTTAAACTGTGAAGTATTCTCTTTGGTTTGTTCTTTAGAATTATCAACTTTATTTTTGAAGCATGGCATTTCGATCTCATTAAATACCACATTTCTGCTATTAATGATCTTAATGCCTTGAACACCTAGCACCCACAACCTGTACCCTTTTACCCATTCAGGGTACCCAAGCATAACACATTTAGTGGCTCTAGTGTCTAACTTTCCCTCGGTCTGATGTGCATATGCCACATATCCAAACACCCTAATGTGAGAAAGGTTTGTGGGCTTCCCAGTCCAAAGTTCCTGTGAAGTCTTAAACTCAACAGAACTACATGGAGATCTATTTATAAGGTAAGCAGCGGTAGTCACAGCCTTAGCCCAAAAACCTTTAGCTAATCCAGAACTTATCAACATACACCTAACCTTATTCATAAGTG